AATCTGGACCCCAGGCAGAAAGAAACTTGTGCCTTTTGCATCTCAAACCAGACAGGCAGCCACATAAACCCATGACTCCTTTGTCAATTCAGGGCTCCGAAGATATCAAACTGTGTGATGGGGAGGACTGCACATACCTGAAGATCCCAAGAGACAAAATCGTGAAGACCCTCCTGGTAAGTGACACAGAACTTCATTTGGAAGATCTCCAGAAGAGCATCTCTTCCCATTTCTGTTACTTGGTGCCAGTCAACATCTAGAGCCACTCTAAATTGTAGCATTGTAGACTTTTACAATCCATCCATCACAGTGGTGTAGCGGTAAGGAGGATGAAGCCATTGCATCGAGACATGGCAAGTCAAGTGATGTCCAAACTGAATTAATTCCACAATGTAGATGCAACCAAGTCCCATCAGTCATAGCTGGAATCGCCAATACTGAGGAGTAGAATCCTAGAGTTGGAAGAGACCTCGTGGACCATTCAATCCAACCCCATTCTGCCAAGAAGCAGGAAAATTGCATTCAAACCACCCCTAACAGATGACCATCCAGCCTCTGCTTAAAATCCCCCAAAGAAGGAGCCTCCACCACACTCTGGGGCAGAGAGTTCCACTGCTGAACAGCTCTCACAGTTAGGAAGTTCTTCCAAATGTTCAGGTGGAATCTCCTTTCTTTCCTGTATTTTGAAGCCATTGTTCCATTGCGTCCTAGTCTCCAGAGATGTAAAAAACAAGCCTGCTCCCTCCTCGGTATGACTTCCCCTCACATCTTGATCCATGGCCCTCATCATGTCTCCTCTCAGCCTTCTGCAGAAAAAACGAAATGCAAAGATACAGAATGGGGGAAGATGCCTGGCTTGAGAGCAGTACGTGTGAAAAGGATCTTGGAGTCCTTGTGGACAGCAAGTTAAACATGAGCCAGGAATGTGATGTGGCTGCAAAAAAAGCCAATGGGATTTTGGCCTGCATCAAGAGGAGCCTAGTGTCTAGATCTAGGGAAGTCATGCTACCCCTCTATTCTGCTTTGGTTAGACCACACCTGGAATATTGTGTCCAATTCTGGGCACCACAATTCAAGAGATATTGACAAGCTGGAATGTGTCCAGAGGAGGGTGACTAAAATGATCAAGGGTCTGGAGAACAAGCCCTATGAGGAGCGGCTTAAGGAGCTGGGCATGTTTAGCCTGAAGAAGAGAAGGCTGAGAGGAGATATGATAGCCATGTATAAATATGTGAGAGGAAGCCACAGGGAGGAGGGAGCAAGCTTGTTTTCTGCTTCCCTGGAGACTAGGACGCGGAACAATGGCTTCCAACTACAAGAAAGGAGATTCCATCTGAACATGAGGAAGAACTTCCTGACTGTGAGAGCCGTTCAGCAGTGGAACTCTCTGCCCGGAGTGTGGTGGAGGCTCCTTCTTTGGAAGCTTTTAAACAGAGGCTGGATAGCCATCTGTCAGGGGTGATTTGAATGCAATATTCCTGCTTCTTGGCAGGGGGTTGGACTGGATGGCCCATGAGGTCTCTTCCAACTCTTTGATTCTATGATTCTATTATTCTCTTCTTCAGGCTAAAAATGTCCAGCTTTTTAAGCCACTCCTCATACAGTTTGTTCTCCAGACTCTTGATCCTTTGAGTCACCCTCTTCAGGTCACATTCCAGCTTAGAGTCAACATCTCCCTTCAATTGTGGTGCCCAGAATTGGACCCAGTGTGATTCCAGGTGTGGTCTGACCAAGGCAGAATAGAGCATGGGGAGCATGACTTCCCTGGACCTAGGCACCATGCTTCTATTGATGCAGGCCAACATCTCATTGGTGTGATGGGATTTTCAGGGTGACAGCATTTTGCCTAGCCCTGTTGTATGGCTTTCTTGGGAAAGGCATAGATTATATGAATCATTCTATTATCTTTTCTTTAAACAGGCCGACATGCTGGCAAGACTTCAGAAGAAAAAATGACTCTCCTTTGAGCATTTTGGTAAATGTTATTATGTGTCTAAAGACATGTGGCGTCCCTCTCTCGCCACCTTAATGTGCTCTTTTTTGTAGGCATTGTATATTTGCAACCATGTTTTTATAAACCCTATAGCAGCCTCCATCCCTTTCCCCCCTCCGCATGTACACCTTCACTATCGTAGCAGCAGAATAGTATTTCCGTTGAATGTTTGCGATCGTTGAATAAAATATTTTATTTTGCTACATAGACCCACTTGTATGCATTTGTATTCTACGTTCATCAATGACAACATGTTTAAGCCCATTGCTGATGATGATGACAATGATGATGATGATGATGATGTGGATCACAAGAAAGATTAGAATACTAAGAGATATTAGTACCAGGAGCTCCAACTTTATTTTCTTTCTATTAAGTGTTTGCATGCAGGGATTCTGCAAAGAAGGTGGCTTCCTTTGGTTTGCAATCATAGGGCAAGCCACTTGTCTATCATTGTTAAGTTTGGATCCGCCACTTCTCCCAGGGAGATGGGAAGGGAAGAGGGGGGCATTTTTAGTTAGTCTTAGTGAGGAAAGCTAAGTTAGAGGACGTGGACAAGCTTCACCTGCACAAAAGCTTCATTTCTTATGACCATCCAGGGAAACTGAAGTCCAGGAAATTCCAGGGACATTCCAGGGGAAAACAGTCCCAAAGCTCTGGCATACAACTCACAGCCTCTCAGCCTTACAGCATCTGAGGAAAACAGCCCTAAAGTCTCTAAGAAATTCCAGAGGGAAAACAGCTTTACAGACCCAGAGAACTCCAGCTGGAGAATCTGCAAGCCTTTACTGGTAGGTCTACTCGGTGCTCAAGACACAGTTTGAATCCGGTAGTAGGACCCACATCAGTAAGGATTAGATTATAGTCAGCCTGGAAGAGGTTAAAAAAGGGTTTTCCTCTAAAGTAAAGGAACAGTTAATGAAGACAGTTGCCTGTCCCTCGTGGACAAGACTAAGGAAGCCACCAGTTAATTCAAAGCCTTGAAGCATTTGTTTGACCCATTGAAGATTTGAGAAATATCTGTTGGATTTGTTCAATAATAAAGGACTTTGTTACATCATTAAAGACTCTAAAGACTATCTCTACAGGAAAATCCTTAAAGGCCTCTTTCGAGGCGCCCCTGGCTTCCCGCTGGGCACAAGGTGCACGTCCTATTTCAAAAGTCAATTATTACAGGCCCAGCGCGTGACAGAACAGTCAGTCTGAATTCGAAAGTCCCAGAGGAGTTTGACGTGCTCATTTTCTGCAACTTCTTCAGGCCTGTGATCCCACTGGTTCTTTGTTGCAGGCAGATGGTATTTGTGGCACTGGTTCCAATGAATCATCTGAGCAACGGTGTTACGCCTCTGCTTGTAGTCTATCTGTGCAATCTTCTTGCAGCAGTTGAGGATGTGATCTACTGTTTCATCTGCTTCCTTGCAGAGTCTACACTTGGGCACTTGGGATCTGTTCTCGACTTTTAAATTCTGGCTTTGATGGCATTTGTTCTAATGGCTTGTTCTTGGGCTGCCAGAATCCGGCCCATTTGCTTCACATGGACATTGAATAAAACTTGCAGAATAATCACAGGATATCTTAAACCTACACCTGTTGATAAACTCTACAAGCTAGCTGGCATTGCCCCCCCCCCCCCGATGTGCAACGGAAAGTTGCTGCTAAATATGAGAGAAATAAGGTTGAACCCTGTGAAAGCCACCCACTACATGGCTACCAGCCTCCTCCCAGTAGACTCAAATCAAGGAAAAGCTTTATGAGAACTACCACTCCTCTTGGCGTCCCCCCAACAACAGCAAGGGTACCCCTCTGGGCAGCTAGACCAAGAAATCCCAACTGGATGGCTCCCCCATGAAGGAGGATCTTCCTCCAGGGGAAAACCAAAAATGGGCAACTTGGAAGTCGCTGAACAGACTCAGGAGTAGAGTGGGCAGATCAAAGGCAACCTGGCAAAATGGCACAACCTAAAAGAATCCCAAACGTTGTGTGATTGTGGAGCAGAACAGACAACTCCTCATATGTATGCTTGTCCACTATGCCCTGCCTCATATACAGAGGAAGAATTGTTGGAGGCTACAGACAATGCAGTCATTGTTGCCCGTTTTTGGTCAAAAGATATTTAGCCGCCTGCGCTCCTTCTATTTTTATTAGTTTTATACTAATTTATGCAATGCTGTTGATACAAAATAATAAAAAACATGGGCAGACTTGTGCAGCTTAACCCACTGCGTCCCCGTGACAGATTCATAGGACTATTGAATTTTTGAGTTGGATTAGATCTCGAGGCACTTCTAGTCCTACTCCCTACTAGTCTAGGAATCCATAGATTTATAGGAACATTGAATGAAGGGATCTCAAAGTCTGCCCATGTTTTTACTCACAACCTCTAAGGATGCTTGCCATAGATGCAGGCAAAACGTCAGGAGAGAATGCCTCAAAACATGGCCATATAGCCCGAAAAAACCTAGAACAACCCAGTGATTCCGGCCATGAAAGCCTTTGACAATACATTTCTTCACTGTTTTCCTTGTTGCCCTCCTCCCTTCCACCTCATTGGCTGAGAGGCCAAAGCAGGGCTCAGGCCACCATTGGCTCTCTTGCTGATTTGCTGAAATCACAGCCAATCATAACAAAGCCAGCTCGGAAGTGGGGGAGAGGGCTGGGCATGGGAACGTTTGAACCTGAAGGCTATACATATTGTATCCTTTTGCCCAGTGGGTATGTCGATTTTGTTGGCAGGTTGCTGCAATCGTCATCCTTTCCAGCTGGAATGAAATAAAACCTCAGTGGCTTTCTCTTCAACTTGGTGAGACTTATTCTGTAATATTGGCTTCTATTTCTCATCAGGCAACCCACAATGGCTTGGGCCTATCCACAGCCATTCTAAATTGCTCGACAACACCAGGACCCCATAGGATAGAAACTGTCAGTTGAAACATTATAATTTTGTCAGGTGAATCCTTTGTTTATTAGTACACTTTAAAAGGCAGAAACCAATACAAACATCCAGTAATTTCTGTCTAAAGCCAAAACTTTTAATTACGCTAATAAGGAAACATTAAGCAAACATTTTATGCTCTGTAGAGATTGCTTATAAACTGCTTGAAAGTGTCCTTCTTCTTAGATCAATGGCAGGTTCCATCTGCATAGAGAAGAAATATAGGATATATTAACATCTGATCATAGGCAGAGTCTGCCTGTATTTCCACAGTCAGAAGATGAAGAATGACCAGGAGTGCATCTACAATGTAGAATTAATGCAGTTTGGTACCACTTTAATTACCATGGCTCAATACTATGGAACGTTGGGATTTACAGTTTGTAGCACTGCAGGGTTTATAGTTTGCAGCGATCCTTAGCATCCTTTGGCCAAGAAGGCTAGCAACCTTGTAGAACTACAAATCCCCTGATTTCATAGCAGTGAGCTATGGCAGTGTAAGTGGTATCTGTGCTGGTACGGCTGTACCAGAAGTTCCAACTTTATTTTCCTCTTGTTAAGGTTTGCAATCATAGGATAGGCCACCTGTCTATAATCGTTAAGCTTTGTTCCGCCCCCTGTTCAGGGCTCTGGGAGGGAAAGGAACCATTTTGGGCAGTCTCACACAAGGAAGCTAAGCTATAGGATGTAGACCTGCTCGTCCCGTAGAAAAGCATCCTTTCTCAATAACGTCCGGGGAAACAGAAATTCCAGGGAAAAGGTCCCAAGGATCTGGCTGAGAGCTCACAGCCTCTCAGCCTCACAGCATCAGAGGGAGAACAGCCCTGAAGTTTGTTATTTATTTATTTATTTATTTATTTATTTATTTATACGCTTGTATACCGCTAATATCTCAGCCTAAGTCGGCGACTTATTGCGGTTTACAATTAAAAAACAGTATTCAGTTTAAAACATAAAACACATATACAATACAAATTATTGGGCCACCAATAATAATCCCATGCATCTCATAACTGGAATCGCAGTCCAAAATTCATCGTCCATGATTACCAATCCTTTAGTCATCAAAATTCGTTGCAACGGATTAACCGAATGCTTGTTTAAACATCCATGTCTTCAATCTATTCCGAAACACCATCAGCGAGGGGGCTGATCGTACCTCTATGGTTCCAAAGAATTCTCGGAGGGAGGACAGCACTACAGATCCACGGAACTCCAGCTGAAATATCTACAAGCCTCGGCTGGTAGGTCTACTCGCTGCCCAGACGCATTTGGAATCGGTAGTAGTACTCAGATCAACGAGGCCTAGATAATAGACAGCCTAGGAGAGGTTAAAAAGGGTTTTTTCTTACAGAGAAAGTACAGTTAATCAAAGTCAGGTACCAGTCCCTTGAGGACTAGACTAAGAAAGCCTTGAAGTGTTGTTTGAACCATTGAAGATTTGTTGTTTGTTTCATAATAAAGACTTTGTTGTATCATTAAAGACTCTAAAGACCATCACTTCAGAAAAATCCCTGAGAACCTCTCTTTGAGGTACCCCGGCTTCCCGCTGGGCTTAAAGTATACGTCCTATACAAAAGACAATTGTTACAGGCCCAGCGCATGACAGAACAGGTATCAAACTGCACCCATTCTACAGTGCAGATGCATCCAAAGGGAGGCAAAGACTTGTGCCTCTATATGTCTTTATGCAAGGCCTACCTGCTAGATGGAACTTCTAGCAGCTTCCAACCGAGCTTCATCCTAGAATAAATAATAATAATAATAATAATATAAATAATAATAATAATAATAATAATAATAATAATAATAAACCTTTATTTGTATACTGCTTTATCCCCCGAGGGAACTCGGGGCGGTTTCCAGCATAGTAAAGCATTGCAATTACCGTCATAAGAATAATCATAGAAATATAAACAAAGTACTGTATAACAGTCATCCACATGTCCCTGCCGTATGCAGCGACTGTATGAAATCATTAAGGGGCGATGCAGCACAGGTACGGTAAAAGAAAATCCATTCATCAGGATTTGTGGACTTAATACTGCAGGCGTCCGGGGTGCCTGGGACATGGAAAAAAGAGATAAAGTGGCTCTGGGTCCAGACAAACATAATGAAACATGCCACATTATCATGTGGTGTCTGTGCCCTACACCACTGGAGAAATTACACTGTTTAGCTGGTATTGCACCACCTGACATCCACCGGGAAGTAGCAGCCAATAGTGAAAGGACCAAGGCAGAGACATCTCCAGCTCATCCCCTGTTTGGGTATCAGCCAGCACGTCAATGACTTAAATCAAGAAATAGTTTTCTAAGATCTACAGAGACACTCGCTGGAACACCCCAGCAAGCGAGAGTCCAAAAGTGGCAGGCTCAAACCCAGAACCTCAATCAATGGCTGATACCAAATGAGAGACTCCCCCCTGGGCACACAGAAGACTGGGCGACTTGGAAGGCGCTGAACAGACTGCGCTCTGGCACCACGAGATGCAGAGCCAACCTTAACAAATGGGGCTACAAAGTGGAATCCACGACATGCGAGTGCAGAGAAGAGCAAACCACTGACCACCTGCTGCAATGCAACCTGAGCCCTGTTACATGCACCATGGAGGACCTCCTTGCGGCAACACCAGAGGCACTCCAAGTGGCCAGATACTGATCAAAGGACATTTAATCGACTACCAAGCTTGCAAATTCTGTGTTTTGTCTGTTTGTTTGTTTTTGTTAAAAATGTAATACAAATGTCTGGTTGCTGATGACACCATAAATAAATAAAAATACCTACATAGTGCTAGATGCATAGCAAAATCAAGATTTGCTTTTTGGATTTCACCCCCCCCCCAAAAAAAACCCCCCTGCTGAATATTTTAAAGCTTTGATTAGTTGAATTGGTGGGTGCAGAATCCCTAGATATGGAGGGCAGGCAGCATGATATACCCACATCATTCTCGGTTGATCTCTTTCCTCCTCGGGGGCAGTTTTGTATATAGCACGGTCCTGGAGGGGATTCTTTGTGGCAATCCTCACAAGTGTCATCATCATCATCTGTGACTCCTGGAGAAATCAGCAAGGAGAGAAGGCACAGGAGACAAAGGACAAGGCCGGCCTTCCTCATTGCTACTCAAAACGCCCAACGTTGCACTCAGAGATGGGCTTAATCTTCTTTCTCTTCTTCTGGTTTCGATATCCAGCTCCTACCCGGGAGTCCTCTAATATTTATATCAAAATGACAAGTTGACCTTTCTAGTCTCACATCATTTGTGCATTATATCATGATTGCAAGGAACGTCTTGAGCAGGTTTGCAAAAGAAAACGACTTTCCTCTTCCTCCTTTGCTCCACATGAAATGGCTTTGAGTCTTCCTTTTGCCAATCAGACCAGTATGGAAGGAACTTATATTTTCCTGCATGGCATGACTCCAGAGACATTAGGTTGGCTATAAGGATGTGCATTTATTTCCATTATATCCATTTCTTGGAAAGAGGAAGAGACAGATTCTTCTCTTTAGCCAACCTGCCTAAGATGTTCCCTGTGATAGCAATGCGAAGCAATCAGTGAGGATTATTTATTTATCGTATTTAATGCAAAACAGTTGTATTGCATTAAAAACAAACAAACAAACCATAAAGTTTGCAGACTTGGTATTCTATTAAATGTCCTTTGATCAGTATCTGGCCACTTGGAGTGCCTCTGGTGTTGCTGCAAGAAGGTCCTCCATTGTGCATGTGGCTGGGCTCAGGTGGCATTGCAGCAGGTGGTCAGTGGTTTGCTCTTCTCCACACTCACATGTCGAGTATTCCACTTTGTGGCCCCATTTCTTAAGGTTGGCTCTGCATCTCTATCGAGGCATCTCCCTTCTAACCTCCGCTGGGAAAATCCTTGCAAGAATCCTTGCAAACCGCCTTCTGCCCCTCTCAGAAGACACCCTCCCAGAATCCCAGAATGGCTTCTGCCCCTCCAGAGGAACCGTGGACATGATCTTCACTGCACGACAGCTCCAAGAAAAATGCAGGGAACAAAACCAACCTCTGTACATGGCATTCATCGACCTTGCAAAGGCATTCGACACAGTGAATCGCAGCGCTCTCTGGACCATCCTCCACAAAATCGGGTGCCCAACAAATTTGTGAACATCCTGCGGCTCCTCCATGATGACATGATGGCAACAGTTTTGGACAGCAATGGCTCCCAAAGTGACCCATTTAAGGTGGAATCCGGTGTCAAACAGGGATGTGTTATTGCCCCAACTTTATTCTCCATCTTCATCGCTATGATACTTCACCTTGTTGATGGGAAGCTTCCCACCGGAGTGGAAATCATCTATCGGACAGATGGCAAGCTGTTTAACCTCAGCAGACTGAAAGCCAAAACCAAGGTTACAACAACATCTGTTATAGAACTCCAGTATGCTGATGACAATGTCATCTGTGCGCATTCAGAAGAAGATCTACAAGCCACTCTAAACACCTTCACAGAAGCATACACGAAGCTTGGCCTGTCACTGAACATCGAGAAAACCAAAGTGCTCTTCCAGCAGTCACCAGCCATCCCCTCCCCAATGCCAGAGATACAACTTAATGGTGTAACATTAGAAAATGTGGACCATTTCCGCTACCTTGGCAGCCACCTCTCCACCAAAGTCAACATCGACACCGAAATACAACACCGCCTGAGCTCTGCGAGTGCAGCATTTTCCGAATGAAGCAGAGAGTGTTTGAGGACCGGGACATCCGTAGGGATACCAAGGTGCTTGTCTATAAAGCTATTGTCCTCCCAACCCTGCTCTATGCCTGCGAAACATGGACTGTCTACAGACGTCACATGCAACTCCTGGAACGATTCCATCAGCGCTGCCTCCAGAAAATCGTGCAAATATCTTGGGAAGACAAGGAGGGTGAAAGAGAGAAACGTGCCAGGAGGAAGGCACATCAAGCCAACCCCGACCGGGACCTGCCTTCACTGTGGGAGAAGATGCGGGTCAAGAATAGAGCTCCACAGCCACCTACAAACCCACAAAAATAGTAATCAAGGAAGACCATCTTACTCGTCCAACGAGGGATCGCCTAAGTAAGTAAGTAAGTAAGTAAGTAAGTAAGGTGCCAGAGCGCAGTCTGTTCAGCGCCTTCCAAGTTGCCCAGTCTTATTATTATTTTATTTATTTCGCTCATTTCTACCCTGCCCTTCTCAACCCCCAGGGGGGACTCAGGCCGGCTTACAAAAGGCACAATTCGATGCCAACACAACAATAGGATAAGATAATCAAGATCAGCAAAAATCAAGCAATCATTTCCTTTTCTTCAGAAATGGCTAATAAACTGCTTGAATATGTCCTTCTTCATAGATGAATGGCAAGTTAATTGAAAATGTCCTCTGCATAAATAGGAAATAATTGAAATTAACACATGATCATGGGCTATATGATGGTCAGATGTCTGGAGTTGGCAAAATGAAGTCATTGCTCCCTCACTTGAATCATAGAATCATAGAATCAAAGAGTTGGAAGAGACCTCATGGGCCATCCAGTCCAACCCCATTCTGCCAAGAAGCAGGAATATTGCATTCAAATCACTCCTGACAGATGGCCATCCAGCCTCTGTTTAAAAGCTTCCAAAGAAGGAGCCTCCACCACACTCCGGGGCAGAGAGTTCCACTGCTGAACGGCTCTCACAGTCAGGAAGTTCTTCCTAATGTTCAGATGGAATCTCCTCTTGTAGTTTGAAGCCATTGTTCCGGCGTCCTAGTCTCCAGGAAGCAGAAAACAAGCTTGCTCCCTCCTCCCTGTGGCTTCCTCTCACATATTTATACATGGCTATCATATCTCCTCTCAGCCTTCTCTTCTTCAGGCTAAACATTCCTTTGTTGGAATGTCCAGGATGAGAGAAAGAACTCTTGTCTGTTGGAGGCGAGTGTGAAAGTTGCAGTTGTCCACCTTGATAATCAACTAATGGCCTTGCAGTTTCAAAGCCTGGCTGGTTGCTGCCTAGGGGAATCCTTCCTTAGCATTGAATGGCATTGCGGCTTCAAAGCCTGGCTGATTCCTGCCTGGAGAAATCCTTTGTTGGGATGTGTTAGTTGATTAGCACTGAATAGCCTTGCAGCTTCAAAGCCTGGCTGGTTGCTGCCTGGGGGGAAATCCTTTGTTAGCACTGAATGGCCTTGCGGCTTCAACGCCTGGCTGGTTGCTGCCTGGCTGATTCCTGCCTGGAGAAATCCTTTGTTGGGATGTGTTAGTTGATTAGCATCAAATGGCACCAAACTCCAAAACTCTGGATGACCTCTCCCAGTGGTTTCATATAGATGTTAAAAAGCATGGGGGACAGAATGGAACATTGTGGTACCCCACAGGTCAAAGGCCAGGGGTCCGAGCAGGTGTCCCCCAGCTTCACCAACTGGGAGTGGCAGTCCATGAAGGACCGGAGCCACAGCAAAGCCATGCCCCCAAGACCCATCGATGGGTAACGAAAGCTGCTGAGATGTCCAATGGTCGATGGTAACGAAAGCTGCTGAGATGTCCAAGAGAACCAGCAGGGTCACACTCCCCCTATCCAGCTCCCTGCGGAGGTCATCCACAAAGGCGACCAAAGCTGTCTTGGTACTGTGACCAGGCCTAAACCCAGACTGTGACTGATCCCAAGGATAGGGAGGGCCAATAGCATCATATACTTACATCATTCATATCAGATCTCTTCCTCATTTTAAGGCAGTTAAGCTTTTGGCACTCTTGTGGATTGGGATTTTCATGACAAAGATGACAAGCCGCTGTATATCTGGCTTCTGTCAACAGAGGCAAGGAGAGAAAGCACAGGGGCAAAGGACGAGACCTGTCTTCCTCATTTTTATTTCAAAAGCCCAGAGTTGCACCCAGAGATATTCTTCTGTCTCTTCCTTGGGTGCCTATATACGGCTCCCGTCTGCCGGTCTTCTGATATTTATACCCAGCGAAAAAGCCTTGGGATGTCAAGCGGACCTTTCCAGTCCCACGTCATCTTCTTTCTCCTCAATGATTCATCGTATCATGACCACAAGGAACCTCTTAAGCAGAGAAGAAATGGTCTCTTTCTCTCTTTCTCCATGCTAGGAATGTAAAGGGGATGAATGAACACCCTTCGAGCCAATCTAATGGCTCTGAGGTCATGGCGTAGAAGGAAATATGAGTTCCTTCCATGCAGGGCTGATTCACAAAAGGAAGAATCAAAGCCATTGAGTGTGGAGAAAGAGAGGAAGAGATGTGTCCTTCTCTTTAGCAAACCCGCTCGAGATGTTCCTTGCAATAATGATATGAAGTGCATAGAAGATGACGTGGGACTAGACTTTGGTTGTTTTGCTGTGTTTGATATAAATATTAGCGGACTGCCAGATAGGAGCTGGATATCGAAACTGGAAGAGGAGACAGAAGACGGGTATGAATACATTTCCTTGTAGACAGTCTGTTGTTTCTGGGATCACGCCATCCAGGGAAATGTTGAATTTCTCCTGGGGAGGGCTGATTCGGAGCAGGAAGAATCCAAATAGCCATATGATAGCCATGTCTAAATATGTGAGAGGAAGCCACAGGGAGGAGGGAGCAAGCTTGTTTTCTGCTTCCCTGGAGACTAGGACGCGAAACAATGGCTTCAAACTACAAGAAAGGAGATTCCATCTGAACATGAGGAAGAACTTCCTGACTGTGAGAGCCATTCAGCAGTGGAACTCTCTGCCCTGGAGTGTGGTGGAGGCTTCTTCTTTGGAAGCTTTTAAAGAGAGGCTGGATGGCCATCTGTCAGGGGTGATTTGAATGCAATATTCCTGCTTCTTGGCAGAATGGGGTTGGACTGGATGGCCCATGAGGTCTTTTCCAACTCTTTGATTCTATGATTCTATGATTCTATGAAATCATTTAGTGTGGAGACAGAGAGAGAAAGAGACAAGTGTGGTGTTGTGTTGTTTCTGTCACTACTAAGAGTTTGCTATAGGCTTTTCCTAAGTAATAATAAGTATCAGATCCAGTTTGTTCCTGCACTAGAGCAGCTGTTATGGTTTCGCTGGGTGTGTTATCAGCATTCTGCATAAAACAAAGCATTGAGCTTGCAAACGTTGCTGGTAGGATGGAAGCAAAGAGCGAAGGAAGATAGGAAAGCAAAGGGGAAAGAAAAAGGGAGGGGAAGGAAGAAAGGAGAGA